TTTCATATATGTGTTGCCAGTCTTCATGGTATGTCCCTGCTGGGATTCCAGGATCTTATTGCCGTTCTTTTCTTTCCAATATATGCTAATAACATCAGGGAAAAAATTCTCAAGAAGACAAAGATATGTTCCAGCCTTATGGAGATTTGTTTCAGCAATTGAAGGAAGGAAAATAGTGGGCTTTGGGGAAACATCTCCAATAATGTCTTTATCTGTGAGGGGGAAATGGAATACAAATTAAAAAGAATTATTAGAGAAACACACATATTACTTGGTTTGGAACAACCTTGTGTCTAACAAGAGGAAGAAAAGTTGCCATTGAATTAGTGTCCATGGTGTCCTTTCATCTGCAATAGATTGTAAAGATATCATTGCGTTTATTTTCCAGTTTTGAAAATAAGATCAAGAAATTAAGGAACGTGCCAGAAGTCACAGCCCTCAAGTGTTAGATCTTGGATTCAAGGCTGGCCTTTGTTCATTCTGCACATGCTGTGATGGAGTATGATTTTTAACTGCCTCATACCAGGGCTTCCAACATCCATGAACACACTTACGTTTTAAAATCTCTTTTGTTTCATCACAATGGAGCATGCTTTCAAGGTGGATGGCAAGGAGAGATGGGAGGAGACCAGGTAACTTTAATGATCTCTCCACAGATGCGAATGTGGTCCCATCTAAAGCACTTTATTTCCCATCCTGTGTAACTTATGTTCTCTTTGACCAAGAACACACATTCTCATGTTCTGCAGTTCTGTGTAACCCCACTCTTCATTTAACTGATTCTGAAATGCACCATATTTATTTCCCGTATGTATTAATGTCAGAAGGAAGTTTTCCATTTTTATTTTTAACAATATGCAGTCACTTGTTTTAATGGGAGTCTGCTTCCGTGTGCATTTACAATCTATCAAGTTCACCGTTCAGCTTCACATGTGTATCTCACAAGCAGTTCTGAAGTCCATGGAGTTCTCCTAGTTAATTCCTAACTTGATATAACATCTCACTTCACATCTGCATCACTCCAGGTTTCTGGATGGAGTAGTATTTAAAGTTGCACCTCCGAATTATTCACAATGTCTTGAATGTAGAAGTGAAATAACAATATTTCTGAAACTTCTATTAAAATTTTTTATTATTTTCAGAAATGCTTTTGTGTTCTTGTTAAGTAATGCACATATCAAAATTTTGTTTTGTTTCAGAAAGTGTTCACCAAAAGCACATAGTATTTTAGAATTTCATTTGAGCTTTAAGCATGACTAAGAACACACCAGGGGTGTATTTTTTATACTTGCTTTAAAATGAATTTACACCATTAGTGAGATGGTCTATATATATCAGCATTTCCATATTTTGACTTCTGTGTCTTCCCAGAATTTGTATCTACCCTGTATTCTATTTAACTGTGTTGGGGCTTCATTATTCTTTTCATCTTAACCTGCTGAATAAATTGTATATGTAATCCATGTAATGTTAAAAGTGATGGTTCCAGAGTTCCTTGCAGTCATACTGTCAAAATATGTAACAACGAAGCATATGTTTACAAAGACGTTTCACTTGAATCTAGAATGTTAATTGTTTATGCCTCTATTTTTAATCCAATATCTGAAATTATAAATGTTTAAACTCTTTCTAATTTGATTTCCAATTGAAGATCAAGTGCTTTGGGCTAGTGTGAAGTTAGTTTAATAATACAAGAGACAATTTCTTAAGAAAAAAAGAATTGGATTTCTCTTTCTAATTTGATTTCCAATTGAAGATCAAGTGCTTTGGGCTAGTGTGAAGTTAGTTTAATAATACAAGAGGCAATTTCTTAAGAAAAAAAGAATTGGATTTCTCATTTGAGAAGAAAAGGTAAAAAATTCTTGATGGTTTATGCCTGTGTTGCAAAGCTTCTGAATTTTATACAAAATCAGTAAACATAGACATATAGTAATATTAAAGTGTTGAACATTCTAAAAATATTATTAGGTCATAATATGCTTATTTTAATTTCATACATTTTGCTTTTAGTGTAAATAGTATTTATTTATTATAGTCCTAAGTGTATATATCTCCAACCACATACTTTGTTTTTAATTTCAAAACATGTTATGAAAGATAAGATTAATTTAAATTTCATTTGTACATTATATTTATATAACTTTAGCCTCTTGTTAATATGTTAACAAATCTAATTTTTATATTAACCACTGTGCTTCGTCATGGGAATACTTCTGATTCAGTGTACTAAAGAAATTGAAAATCAAACAATGTACTTGGAAATTTCTGTGTACTACCACAGCATTCATTGTCTCTTGTCCGTATTCCTTAGCTAGATTCTTTAATTCATTTTTTCAGGATAAAATGAATCTCAAACTTTCATAACTTTCTAAATGTAATACTTAACTAAGCATTAAATAGCATGCGTGATTACATATGGCTAATGCCTAGATTGCTATATTGCATGATTTTATCATACATTACTTTTAAAATGTACTTATTAAGAATGTTTTCCATGGTTAAAATTTTCTTCATGATGTGTAATGGGAATCATTCCATTTATTTGAATAATGAA